GCTTTGGCGGGATGGAGCCTCTCTGCTCCCGTGGAGAGTTAGGGGTGGGGGTGGGATCCTCGTGGAGAATCCCGGCTGGTAGGTTTCTCTGTTCCTGGCGATCCGCTGTTCTGCGAACCGGTACCTGGTATCTGCAACCGGTACCTGGTATCTGCTAGCGGCCCCCTGTGTCTCTGGGGCTCCGGCAGCTCCTGCCCCGCCAGCTGGCCGGCGGCTTGGCACTCTGCCGCGCGGCCAGTAAAGGTTGGGGGAGGGGTCTTCGCTCTTCTCTGTTCTGAAATTCTTCTTTTCCTCTCTTTCTTTTTTTATTATTTTTCACCTCTAGTTTTTCTCTGAGTGTTCGTCTTTTTGTTGTTGTCGGTCTCTTGGGGAGATTAAGCGTTGGAACTCGAACTCTCTTTTTGGTTGGAGAGAGCTGTGGCGTTTCCCTACTGCCCCGTCGCCATCTTGGTCCCCCCTTCAGATTTGGGCCTTCTGTGTAGCTAGAATTACAGGCACGAGCCATTGGTACTCTACTATCATACCCTGTTGGTCACATCAGACATTGTATGTTCACCAGATCAACTCATAAAATCATTTTAATCCTCAAGTGAACGTTAATCATGATAGAAGACAATTTAGTGTGCAATATATTTTTTAAAGTTATTTTTCATCCTACAGACAAGAAGCAACATAGGTAACAGCTTCAATTCCTAAGAAAATCCAAATTCAGTGCCTAAATTGCAGTAAGGTCCAAAAGAGAGCCATATCACCTTTGGCTCTCCAATGCCTGGCAGATGTTTGCATAAGTAAAGGAATGATGGCGAGGATGACTCAAAGACAGATGTGATGAAAAGAGTCTCCAGAGGGGCAGACCCCAGCTGTTTGGAAGATCACATCTGAGTTTCATCACATGCAAAGTCAAGTGCTTTGCTGTCCAATTTCAGGATTTGCTTTGGGTTGACTATGTGACTGTAGATTTTAGTGTTTCCAACAATAAAAAGATGCAGTCTTCACAGCTGTGTGTAACTGCACATTACCTCACCAACCTATTGAGACCCTGAGACCCTGAGTCTTTGAGATACTAGTCTGTGGGATTACACTTTTAATGAGCTACAAATGCAAGACAATGGCTCTTTTCAAGTTTCCCAGCTACTGTTTTAATAAGGTGCTGTGCAGAACACAGTTTTGATATCTATATTAATTTTTTAAATGCTCTTAAGTAAGATAATGATCAAACTAAAGCACACAGAATACTTGAGTGGCTCTCACTTGCTTCTTTGTATTATCTATGTCTAACATATTAAACTAAGTTAACCTCTCTTTAGTTTAAACCATATGAATCTATAACATGTTTACTTTTTATACTTTCTCTGAAAGGGAAGTTGGACAAGGAAATTAGTATGAAAACTGGATTAACCAAATTGTGTGCCTAAATATTGTCATACAGTAACCTTTTGCCTGAGAGGTTAAAACTACAAACTACATCAGAAATAACCTTCCTTATCTGATACTCAAAATTTCCTTAAGAGGTTTATAGGTTTGTTCTTAATAGATAAGTTCCTAGTTAGTCTTTTGTCACTTTATAAGTAAATCTGTAATTTTTTGAATATACTATAAGAAAAATCTGCTATTCATTTGGATTTCCCTCCATTTGAAACAATTGTATTTTAAATGTTAGCCTTGTAGTAGAAAGATTAACCTGCAGGCTCCTAAGTTTTTGTTTGCTACACTAGAAATTTTATTTATTTATTTGTTTATTTATTTATTTATTTACTGCTGATTATAGTACTCCTTGATGGATTTGTTGTCTAAAATGGTAGTGGGCCAGCCTCATTTTGTCCGCTGCATCAAACCCAATAATGAGCGTCAGGCGAGAAAATTTGACAGAGAGAAAGTTCTGCTACAGCTTCGTTGCACGGGCATTCTGGAAACTGCAAGAATCCGGAGGCTGGGATATTCTCATCGGATATTATTTGCTAATTTTATAAAGCGGTATGTGGATTTCTTTACATAAGCCTTTATTATACCATTTCCATAAAAATTCCCCAGTTGTATTGAGAAGGGGTAATGAAGGAAAGGAGCATAATAGAGGAGGTGAGAAGCGTTGGAATACATTACACATATATGTGCAATCCTCCACTGTGTAACTAATATGAGTTGATTCAAAATTCTTCAGAACAATGATAGAAAGCAAAATAAGGCAAGAATTATTGGGATGGACTAAGTGAGTTAAATTTAGGAAAAGAGAGTCTTCAATTCCAGGCTAACTCATATATTCAAATGTCAGCATGGTCTTACAATATGGACCACGAGGAGAACTAAATGTATTGTGTTGATGTGCTATAGTTGAAAGTAACTTATTTATTTAGAAAGTCAGAAATGAGAATACATTCTTAAAATTCAAGGTCTGAAATTATTACAGAATAGCAAATTATGACATAATAAATGAAGAGGAAGAAGATCTATATATGTAGAAAACATGTGGGCTGCTGTTCTGAAATTCCAGAAACAAAAAGCTAAACCTCTTTACTGTCACTAATTTGAAAGCAGTCTGCAAATTGGCTTAGACTATTAGGAATATAGGACAATTTGTGAAGGTTTTGTAGGGGTGTAAATAGGACTTAAATAATTCTCCTCTGTCCTGCCTTAGTATTAACTAACCCTTTCCATAGGGTAAAAAATTCCTCTTGCCTTTTGTCTATCCCTTTATAAACTCTGTTTTGTGGTAAGAAAGCTATGTTAAGAGAAGATATGCAGTATGAACTTACTTTGCACAAAACATTAAGGTATATTAAGCCAAATTTTAATCACTCTAACAAATACCTTGAGTTAGTCACTGGTGGCTCACTCCTGTAATCTTAGCTACTCTGGAGACTGAGATCTAAGGATCATGGCTCAAAGCCAGCCTGGGCAGGAAAGTCTGAGAGACTCTTTTATTTCCAATAAATCAATCAAAAAATGTCAGAAGTGACGCTGTGGCTCAAGTGGTATAGCACTAGCTTTGAGCAAAAGAAGCTCGGGGGACAGTACCCAGGCCCTGAGTTCAAGCCCATGGACTGACAGAAGAAAAGAAAGAGAAAGAGAATGGGACAGGCAGTTGAGAGAGGGAGGGAGAGAAAGTGTGTGTTTTTAGCACACAGTTTTAAAGTTCTAGTCCATGATTGGTTAGCCCTATTGCTCTGGGGGCTATGGCAATACGTCATTTTATGTGGCATAGCATAACCACTCCCCTCTTTGGGAGCCAGGGAGCAAAGATAAGAAGGAAAAGAAGGGACACCATCCCAACATTCCCTTCAAGGGCACAGCCCCAATAACCTGAATATCTCCCAGTAGGTTCCGCCACTTCCCAATGGTACCACTCGATGGAACAAATCTTCAAAATTTAGGCCACTGAGGACCATTGAAGATCTAAACCATAGCCTGAGGTTTTATTGTAGTTATTTCAGATGAACCCTAAAACTAAGAATCTACTGGCAAACTCTCCTTTCCACTAGGTACCTCTGCACAAGGGTTTTAGTCTCAGAGCTTGCATTTAAGTAAGAGCTTACTGATACAGAATAATGGAATTAATTAAGTACTTTGAAGTCAGCAACCCTAGGTTTGAAGCTCCTTCAAAGTTCTTTGATTTCTATACATTTCAAGCTTTATTTTCCCTAACTTGAAAATAGAAATAATAATCATAATATCCACTTTTTGTGCATTTATGAGCACTGAGATAATATATCTATAGATGAAGTTTATGGATACAAACAAATACCATAAAAGTGCTATTTAAGTCCAGTGCCAGTGGTTCATGCCTGTAATCCTAGCCACTCAGGAGTCTGAGATCTGAGGATCACAGTTCAAAACCAGCCCCAGGCAGAAAAGTACATGAGATTCTTATCTCCAATTAATCACAGAAAAGGCTGGAAGTAGTGCTGTGGTTCAAGTGTTAGAGCTCTAGGAGCAAAAGGAGATCTGGGATGGGGCCCAGGCCCAGAATTCAAGCCTCAGGACCAGCATTTTTAAAAAAATGCTATGTAAGGAATTAGTGTGATTTTTCCAAAGCTTGCAGAGGTGAAGGCTGCAGTTCAACTGTCCTGCATTTCACTGTAAAATTTCAAAACCTACCAATACTTGCTACTTTCTTTCCACTGGACTTTCAGATTATTCTCACCCCAAGACATCAAGTAAAAGTAAGGGAGTATTGAAAACTCTAGAAATCTGTCTTTTTGCACAAGTCTGTTCACAAGATAAACCAGCTTTTGTTCTTTTCATTCTCCTCCTTCCCGATTAATGTTGTTCAGCTTGAAGCCTTCATGACTTTTTTCTCTTTCTCTCAAAGACTGATGGATTAAACCAAGAGTATTCCTCTCAGTATTCCTCAAAGAAAAACAGTGTTGGACAATATGTATTGAGTCATGGGGAGGTAGAAATAAACCCTTTTGTCCAGTTTTTTTGTTTGTTTTTGTTGTTGTTGTTGTTATTGTTGTTGTTGTTTGTCAGTTGTGGGCCTGAACTCTGGGCCTGGGTGCTTTCCCTCAGCTGTTCAGCTCAAGACTAGCGCTCTACCACTTGAACCACAGCACCACTTCTGGCTTTTTCTGCTTATGTGGTGCTGAGGAATCAAACCCAGGACCTCATGTATGCAAGGCAAGCACTCTACCACTGAGCCACCTTCCCAGCCCCTCTTTGCCCAGTTTTAAGGTCAGTTTTCAATGTTTTTGAGAACATAATAAAAAATAAAACTTCTTCCTCTACTTCTGTCACTGAAATCCTTCTGCTTTTAATGCTCAGAGAAAGAAAGGATTCCTTTAACTTTTAAAGTTGGTAGTTTTGGTCATGTGTTTTTTTTGTTTCTGTTTGGATTTTGGTTTTGTAGGACAGTTTGTGTGGGGTATTTCTGCACTGAAAAATTAATTACAATGGTGAAAAATCCATACATATTAATTTATATTTATGTATTTGTATACAATATTTATGTTTATAATTTAGACTGATCTATTGATCTTAAATTTATAGCCCTGAGAAATTGGTCTAGTCTAGAGTAAGCCAAAGGATTCCTTGCATTAAGTATAGCAGTCTTGGGCTGGGAATGTAATATAGAGCCACAGGGAGTACTTTTCTAGCAAGCATGAGACCCTAGGTTCCATACCTAGCACCACCTACAAACACACACACACACACACACACACACACACACATACTCAAAACATCTGGAGTCTCCTCCTCTCTCCAAGATAAAGCTATAAGAGGAGTGACCACCGGACTCTGAGATATTGGGCCATTGTATGATATTAACCAGAACTTTTCCCCACTTCCAGGTACTATGTTCTCTCCTACAAGTCAAGTGAAGAGCCCCCAGTGAGCCCAGATACCTGTGCCACCATTTTGGAAAAAGCTGGTCTTGATAATTGGGCTCTTGGAAAAACAAAAGTAAAATATTTTCATGTAATTTTCATGGGTTTTAAAAATGAACAATTATATTTGAGTTAGTGAGACATTACAAAGATACATATTATATTCATTTTATAGTCTTTTAGATGTTCTCAAAGATTAATTCCATCAAGCTAAATTCTCATCATTTATGGCTGGAAACAGATGCTTAACTTAAAATGGAGTTTTAACTTGTAAAAGGCCTTTTGCTATTCCAGTTCTGCATGGTATTTGAGTAGCATTTTAAAGCTGTTTGTATTTTTCCACTTCACCTTTCCAACTCATTAACATGGATAGAAGTATTTAATATAAGAATATTCCTAATGCTGTGCAAAAGAAATGATGACCTTTTTAAACAGATTGAATTTTAAATGAATTGTCAACAGCAGAATAAACTAAATATATTAATATCTAGGGTCCTGTAGAAATTAAAACTGAATTCAATCAAAATCCATAACACTGAACTATTTGCCAATGGTACCAGCCTTTCATTTACAGTGGAAGGCCAGAAGAAATCTGCAGTCAAGGCTTACAAGGTCTCATAGTCAGTCCTAAAGTTTGAATTTAAGTGACCTTCAGATTGGATTCAATAAGCTCTTCAGGTGATTTTTACCAGTAAATTTTTCCACAAAGAGAAAAAGACCCTTCTTATTTCCTTAGAGGCTACAATGAAGTTAACAGACTTTTAGATTTTTTCTCAATTTCATAATGGTTTTTACGGTGATCCAAAGTCAACCTTCCTTTCTCCAAGGTAGCTTTTGAGTCTATTACAATCTGCCTTACTCTTCCAGCAACCACACCTGAATCCTCAAAGAGAGTCTCCTGTCTTACTCATCCTGGCCTCCCCAGAAGAAGAATACACATGTTCTGACTCAGTCAATGTTTGTTGAATGAACTAATACAATTATAATTACCCTCCATCTTACAGATAGGTTTGTAAGGTTTTTAAATTTGGAGAATATCACTGAATTGAAAATGATAAGTGTGCCAGGTGCCGGTGGCTCAAGTTTATAATCCTAACTACTCAAGAGATTGAGATCTGAGGAACTCAGTTCAAAGCAGCCTGGTCAGTCCATAAGCCTCTTATTTCCAATTAACCACAGAAAAAGCCAGAAGTGGAGCTATGGTTCAAGTGGTAGAGCACTAGCCTTACACAAAAGGAGCTCAAGAGCAGTACCCAGGCCCAGAGTTCAAACCCCAGGACTGGTTTAAAAAAAAAAAGATAAGCATAAAAATTAACTTAGCCAAATATAAGTGATGCTAATTTTTTGCTACAAGAGCTCAACATTGTTTATTCTACATCCATCAGCATCTAAAGTTACCTATTATAAATAAGCAAAATCATTGCCATTGTCTACTTTCTTCTTTAAAAAACCATATTTTCTTCAAGCATCAAAATCTTTACTCTGAGAGCCGTATGTAGGCTAAGGAAAAAGATAGTAGATAACTGAAATCTCGAGAGATTTAGCATACAGCTGTTTCTTAAAGGGACATGTCCACTTTACATCTATGAGCCATAATTGATTTGAATTTTATTTCAATTTCTTGAAGGTGTTCCTTAAATACTATCATGTGGAACAGTTGAATCTCATGCGAAAGGAAGCCATTGATAAGCTTATATTGATTCAAGCCTGTGTGAGAGCATTCTTGGGTTCAAGAAGATACAAAAAACTACAGGAGAAAAGGAAAGAAAGCGCTATAAGGATACAGTCAGGTAATCATTCAGAATGTATCACAAAGCAATCAAGCACAATAGGATTTTATGGGCATAAAGGCACATCTTCTAACTGGGCACTGATGGCTTGTGATCTTAGCTACTCAGAAGGCTAAGATCTGAGGATTGTAGTTCAAAGCCAGCCTAGGCAGGAAAGTCCATGAGACTATTATCTCCAATTAACCACCCAAAGACCTGGAAGAGGAGCTGTGGCTTGAATGCTAGACTACCAGCCTTGAGCACAAAACATGTAGGACAGCACCCAGGCCCTAAATTCAAACTCTAGGACTGGCACCAAAAAAAAAAAAAAAAAAGCATATCTTCTCAGACTTCTTAAATACAACTTTGGTTCATGTGTAGCTTTTATGTACATTGCAGCCTATGTAAGCCTAATATTTTTTCTATACTAAAGCTAAATCAGACTAATGATTGACACTTTTAATATTTAGGAGGATGCTCTGTTTTAAATTGAGCAATTTAAAATTTAAAATTTTCTGTCATAGATTAATAAAACACAATTGACCTATTGTGTAAGACTGATCAAATTAATTTTGATCTCAAAAATCATATTACAGTATTAGAACTCATCAGACAATAAAGTTTATCCTACTCTGTTCCAAAGGTTACACTTGCCATAATTTTGACAAGCTAATTGACTTTTATTTTGTTAAAGGGCATCCATTTCTTGCTGTTAACTCTAGGGAAAGTTCTACAAACATACTTTATTTCATAATTTTTTTATTAAAATGTACTTGGAGCCAGGCACCAGTGGCTCACACAGGGAATCTTAGCTACTCAGCAGACTGCAATCTGAGGATCAAGGCTCAGAGCCAGCCCAAGCAGGAAAGTCCATGAGACTCTTACCTCCAGTTAACCACTAAAAAGCCTGAAGTGGAGCTATGGCTTAAGTGGTAGAGCACTAGCCTTAAGTGAAAAAGGTAAGACAGTTTCTGAGTTTAAGCCCCCGTGGTAGGCACAGAAAGAGAAAGAAAAGAAGGAAAGAAAGAAAGAACAAAAGAAAGAAAGGAAGGAAGAAGGAAAGAAAGAAAGAAAGAGAAAGGAAGGAAGGAAGGAAGGAAGGAAGGAAGGAAGGAAGGAAGGAAGGAAGGAAGGAAGGAAGGAAAAGAGAGAGGGAAGAGGGACGTAGGGAGGGAGGTGAAAAGACAGGAATATTTGATTTTTCTTGTAGACATGCATAAATTTAAATAGATTTCCACATGTCTTGATATAGTATTTCTTAAAAAAAAAAAAAGTTGACCCAGCACCCATAGTGGAAAAAAGACTTTTATTTCATAACCACACACAAACACACACACACACACACACACACACACACACACCCCATAAGCCATTTACTCAGACATTTTCTGTTGTGGTTGAGTCTGTTTCGTTTTTAGATGCTAGATAAGGTCTACACAAATGGGTTTGTGGTCCACTATTTGAGCTGATGAAGTAGAGAGATTCATGTTCCAGTCCCATTCCTGCCATCTGCTAACATTCACCATTATCTTTCTTGGAAGTTTAAGCTCCTGATATCTCATGGTGACATCAAAATACAAACCCTGTAGTTCGGGATCTAATCTTTTATCCACAATTCTGAAGTGCATGGGGCTCTGGACTGGGGGGGAGAGGGAGGAGTCGTAATGCGCTCGGCAGGTAAAACAAGTCCTTGCACGTAGAGAAGTTATTTACACTTAGCTATTGTTCATTTCGCTTAGTTGGAATGTTCAATTTTATCTGAAGAAATATTCATTTGATTGGTTGTGGGATGCTACTCTGACATGGGGAATGCTACAAAAAAAAAATATATATATATATATATACATATACTGAACAGGTATTCTAATCCCTGATTTTATTTTTACTTTTTTGGAGTACATATTTGATTAAAACAAAAGTCTCAAGATGATAATCAGTCATGAACAACTATCATAAAGACAAATGTGAAAATAATGAGTTTGCATGCAGGCAATTATTCTTTTCCTCAGTGCCTAAAGTATCTCATATATATATATATATATATATATATATATATATATATATATATATGTATGTATGCATATATATACATATATATATATATTCATTCCACACTAATGTTTTAAAATAAAGTGAAATTTTTTGACTGAATTCTGAAATCTATCTGGCCAAAATGTTTTCAACTTATTCTTGATAATATGTGCTTTCTCCCATGAAGAACAGCAAATGTTAAAAAAGCAAAATTTTAAATTTTGCTCATCTCTATATTTTGTGTGTGTATGTGCGTGTGTGTGTGTGTGCGCGCGCGTGCACGTACATGCCAGTGCTAAGTGTTGTGTTCAGGGCCTCATGCTCTCCTTGGCTTTTTTGCTCTTACCACTTGAGCCACACCTCCACTTCTGCTGTTTTTCTTGGTAAGTAGAGATTATAAGAATCCCTTAGAGGTAATTCTTGGGAAGGTGACTCAATGGTAGAATGCTTGCCTTGCATGCATGAGGCCGTGGGTTCTATTCCTCAGTACCACATAAGCAGAAAAAACCCGAAGTGGCACTGTGGCTCAAGTGGTAGAGCACTAGCCTTGAGCTGAACAGCTGAGGGACAGTGCCCAGGCCCAAAGTTCAGGCCCCATGAGCAGCAAGAAAAAAAAAAGGAACCCCTTGGATTTGTCTGCCTGGGCTGGCTTCCAACTTCCATCCTCAGATCTCAGCCTCTTAAATAGCTAGAATTGCAAGCATGAACAACCTTGGTATCTCTATTACTTTCATTTCATTTGGTCCTCCCTTTAGGTATCCATATATATGATATTTCAGTGATTCTGATGGTGCAGCTTGCATCTAGAAGAGTCTTATTAATGAATTGCATTTGCTGCTGCGAGTGTGGCTCAAAATGTGACCATCTGCCCAAACTTTGGTCCTGAGTTCAAATCCTAGTGCTACAAAAAGAAAAAGAAGTGCCGGGCACCTGTGGCTCACGCCTGTAGTTCTAGTTACTCAGAAGGCTGAGATCTGAGGATCGCGGATCAAAGTCAGCCCTGGCAGGAAAGTCTGTGAAACTGTTATCTCCAATAAACCACCAGAAAACTGGAAGTGGTGCTGTAGCTCAGGTGGTAGAGCACTAGCCTTGAGCTGAAGAGCTGACAGACAGCACTCAGGCCCAGAGTTCCAGCCCCACAACCAACAAAAAAGAAAGAGAGAGAAAGAAGCAATCTGACACAGAAATAAATCCGTGTTTAAAATAAGCCTATCAATTCTATTGTGGCATCTTCAATTTCATATTCCTCTTTGACTTGATGAGAATAAAAAATGATTTATTTCTTCTCATTTAATGATGTCCTCTTATTTCCTATGATTAATACTGCTGTGGGCCTGTGTATTTCTAGCAGCAAGAGGACATCTAGTCAGGAAACAAAAAAAAGAAATTCTTAACACGGGAAACAGAGCCATAATGACCATTCAAGCCCACGATCAAGAATTTGACTACAAGAAAAACTTTAAAAATAAAAGGTATAACAATATTCTTTCTCATAACATGTAATTGGAGCTGATCATTCCAGGATTCTGTTTTGCCCCACATAAACCATAGTTGGCCTGAGTAATCAATAGAATTAGGAAAATGATCTAAGCAAAGTGGTCACTCTTTGTCATTTAGGATCCTGGCACCCAGAAGACTGAATCAAGATGTTCATGAGTTTGAGACCAGCCCGGGATATATAGCAAGAACTTGTTGAAAGAAAGGAAGGAAGGAAGGAAGGAAAAAGAAAGAAAGAAAGAAAGAAAGAAAGAAAGAAAGAAAGAAAGAAAGAAAGAAAGAAAGAAAGAGAGAAAGGGAAAAAGAAAGAAAGGGAGAAAGAGAGAGAATGAAAGAGAAAGAGAGAAAGAAAGAAATAGAGGAAGGAAGGAAGAAGAAAGAAAGAGAGAGAGAGAGAGAGAGAGAGGGAGGAAGAAAGGAAGGAAGGAAGGAAAAGAAAATGGAGTCCCAGTCCAGATTTTTCCAAATTTAATTCAAGGAAGACTCATTCTTCACAGATTGTAAAACCAAAAAAGCAAAACCACTTGCCTGTAGCTCCTGGGCCAGGCTAATCAGGCAAAATCCCTCCTCCTCCCCTTCCCACCAAGCAACAGGAAGAGACACCATTAGAATATCAGGTTGTAGCTTTTTATTTTCTAGTCCTGGGGCTTGAACTCAGGGCCTGGGCACTGTTCCTGAGCTTCTTTTGCTCAAGGCTATCACTCTACCACTTGAGCCACAGCACCAATTCTGGCTTTTTCTGTGTATGTGGTAGTGAGGAATCGAACCCAAGGCTTCATGCATGCTAGGCAAGCACTCTACCACTAAGCCACATTCCCAGCCCCAATTGTGGCTTTTTACACTCCACCTGAACACCCTTTGCCTGGGAGTGTTGCCCTCCTGAGGATTTTGTTCTTATCTGGAAAAATAAAAATAAAAGTTACAGAGCAAATCTCATCTCCTTATCTTCAAGTTAAGGAGAGATCACTTGGGGGAAGGATATTGGCAAACTAGCAACTGTGAAATTTGGACCAGGGTATTAAAATTCATGGTCACGGACTGTGTCAAGGACATAGCTTTAATTTTAATTTTACAAGATATTTCATATGATCAATAAACTTAGTACTTATTGAAGTACAGTCTATGAGCTTTAGTGGCATGCCCTGCTTACTGATACCAAAAGGATTTATTTCCCCAAACATCTCAGGCTAGGTGTTTTCTTTGAAAAAAATAGATGTATTCTATTTCTTTTATTATCATATGTTAGCTACACAGGGTGGATTAGATTTTATCATGATATTTCCATGCAAAGATACAATGTTTTCTAATCAATCCACACTACCCTCTCTCTTACCTACCTCCCTGTTTCCTAATACAGTTTCAAGAACTTTCATTGTTCTTTTTTCATACTTGCCAACAGTCTATTTCCATCCTTATTAGCCTCATGCCCTCTTAATAATATCCCCCTTCCAACAAAACCTGTTTCTCTTTCCCCTCCTCTCAACCCCTTATTGACCAACAACTTTCATTGAGATTGTTTATGCAATTTTCAGATACTTTCAGAGTATCTTGAAATTCTGATGGCACCAAAAGGTGCCTTCTTACCTGGAAATATGGTTGTTCACGTTAGCCAGTTTCTCACTCTTAAGTTGGAACTGGAAATCTCATGAGATGATTAGCCACCCCAAGTTTAGGACAGAGAACATGTTGGCAAGCACTTGCTGAACACAACTTGATACGTTTTTCCTTAGAGCATTCTTTGTTCCCCTTTTGCTTTGCTCCCAACATTAAGCAGCATAAAGCTCTTGCCAAGAGACATAATCTGCTCTAGTCTAGTTGTTGCTCTATATTCAGATACAATATGTTTTGCACAGGACATCTTTTATGAAGAAACAAACAGAAACTGCAGTGTCTAGTAAAGAACTCATCATTCCAGCTGCAAATAATAAAGGGAATCTATCTGGAGCGAAGACTTCTGCCTCCAAGACCAAAAGGGCAGCCATCCATACTGTGAAGAGCAATGAGAAAGGATATCAAAGTCAGAAGAAAATCAATAATTCCTATGGGGAAGAAGCTACTCAAGAACTGTATCTCATGAGGGATGCTTGGGCAGAAGTCAGCCCCAAAGAGAAGTATGTCAAAGACCTGGAAGAGAACAGTAAGATAAAGAAAGGACAGAAGGAGGACATGAGGATCCAGAGCTGCTATCAGAGGTACACAGAAGAAAGGAATTTTAAGGAATCAAAAACATTATATCCAGAAAGGAAAGGCGTGTCCGAAAGGCCAAGCTATCCACGGTTTTGTTTCACTGAGAGAGAGACTTCTTTGAGAAAAGCTGTGGAACCTGCTCTTAGCCAAAGTCCAGTTTATCACAGTACAGATAGCCAGGGAAAAGAGAAGAAGACATCTGTGGTTACCCAGAATGCACTGCTGTGCAGCCAGGCCAGAGATCAGCAGCAGCACAGGATGCTGGAGGAAAGGCATGTTGAATCCGGAATGCAGGCCCAAGAAGAAGATAAAGCTGAGGTGTATATACAGAACCAATACCAGGGTTCCAAGCTAAGGCAGCAACTGAGAGGTGACAGGATGTTGCCGACCTCTCACAGTGAAAAGATTCTTGCAACACCAGCAGAAGTAACAAAAAACATTCACAAAAACATGCATTCCTGTCTCACAATACATGAAGAAACCCAAAATATCAAGGTGAAGAAGGATGGAGACTCAAAAACAACTTCAGAGAAAGAAGTGCATGAATTGGCAACGTTTTCCAAACAGGTATGTAAATAAGCAAATCTCTCGACTAGCACAAATCTTTAGAAACTACCCAACAGCTTAACAGATGGCTAATGAATAACTGATGTGCTGTTTCATCTGTGTTTACCAGACATATGTCTGAAGGAATGTGCTATTCAAACAGCCATGAACTTTCATGCCAATTTACTATGAGAAATATAGAATAAAATATGATCTAAATCTCATATAGTAAGGATATTAAAAATTAGTTATATGCCTTACTAAAATGTTGGTGTTGGATAGTGCCAAAGTTTCTGATATCTCTGAAATCTTTTGTTACTGCTTTTTGAAAAATTAGGTTTTCTAATTACCCTAAAGCCTACACTTTCTCTCTGCCTCCAACTTTAGTTGGAAACGTGGGATAAAATATGAAAAGTAGGTATGTAACTATAGGGAGAGGCATATTTGATGAAAACAAAAGTCTCAAGATGATATATAGTCATGAACAAAGAATATCATAAAGGACAAATGTGGAAATATTGAGTTTTGCATACTGTCAATTCTTCTTTTCCTCAGTGGCTAAAGTTGCTCACTCCGAAAAAAAAGTAGAAAAGAAAATCAGGGATTAGAACACACAGCCTGTTCTAATCCATCTGTGCAACTGAGACACTGAGGAAAACTAGCAAAACCAAGCTATGCCCAGAGAGCTGACAGGAAAGACTGTGGGTGTGGAGACACACTCCTTGTAGCAAAAGAGCCAGATCAGGGCTGCAATGCAGGCCAGACAGAAGTGGAGAGGGCATTCAGGGAGAAGACTAAGCACAGTAGCACTGAAGTCAGGCTAAGAAGACTTTGAAAGAACAGAGGAAGACTTATCATAGTCATAGTCCGCAGAAGGGCTCCTGAAGGTAGCTACAGTGGAATGTAAGTAGAGGAGCCCGGACTCAGGAGCCCCAGGAATGGAATGCTGTATGGAGCAGGATGGGTTTGGTAGTTTTTAATGACAAAGAGAAAGGTTATGTCAAATGATGGTTTTTATCAGACCTTGGGGAAAAGAATCATGATGAGTTCTGAACAAAACATGAGAGTCCTAAAGAGTTTTGTTAAAGAATAGATCAAACCCTTGGGTTACACTTAGAGCCTTGGGACTTCTTTTTCCTGCTTTAATCTGACACATGACCTTCTTTTTAGATATCAAAGTTATCTGAAGAGTATTTCATTCTGCAGAAAAATTTGAATGAAATGATTTTATCGCAGCAACTGAAGCCACTTTATCTGGGTGTCTATCACCAAAAACCAATTAATAGACTGGTCTCTTCTCCACAAGACCTCTCAGGTAAAAGTCAGTAGATCTAGAAGCTTCTCAATAGGAAGAAAATACCCAATATTTGTTCCCCACCTGTATTCTGTGACAGATTTGAGATGAGTGTGTTCTATCTTGGGAGGGGGAGGGGAGATATCTTTGTTCTATTTCTTATAAGCAGAAGCACAATTTTCCAGAATGTTCAACCTACTTCCTATCTTCTCTGACACTATTCGCCTATTTTTTTCTCTTCCCCTCACCTCTCCCACTTTTGCACATTTTAACTAGAACTTCAGAAGAGAATAAGAAAGGGTAGGTTAGAGACCATGCTGGAGGCTTAACAAAAGAAAGAAAATGTGAAATATTTCTATTTCTTGGTCAACATTTGTAATCTTGAATATAGAGTATGCAAAGTATAGATCTCAGATTTACAAGCCCCGGGTACACATGAAATAACCTGATTAAATTGTCTTATCAGCCTCAGTCACAATCTATCCCCATTGAAACTGGTGAGGAATTCAGTCTTAGTAAGTTCCCAAGTCTCCAGGGCTATGCAAAGACCCTGAGGTCATATATTTCACTGAAGGATCAGATAGAACCTGTGGGCCCGAGTCATTTACCCTACAATATTACTACTGAGCACTCATCATCCCCAGAGGGCTTCCACAGCTCCTTCACACCTTCACCTTGGGAGAGTCTGCTGCTTCTATACCCTGAAGACAGCCCAGAGGTCTCACCTTGTCTCCACATGCTCCAGGTAGCCTCCTCTCTACAGCCTTATCGCCTCCCACAGGCTGCTATGGAGAGTGCTGGCACACGAGGCCCAGCTCACCTCTGTGTGATTCTCCTGGGAGAATCAGGTTTTTCTTTTTCCCCATTTCTTGGAGGCCCTCTGCTCTCATTCTGGGCTAACTGCAGCCATTTCTGTTATGTGTGGCTTATAGCAAGACTAGGAAGCATGGCGGACCTCCTGCAGCTTCTGATTTCTTCCTGACCAAAATGTCTTGAGGCAAGAAAATCCTAAAATGAGCTTGGTGGTTGGCCTGATGGACTTGAGAAAGCAGGAAAATACCTTCATGTGTGTGTGTGTGTGTGTGTGTGTGTGTGTGTGTGTGTATCAGTTATCCTACTAAATTATTCAAAAACTGTGGTGCAGTGTGTGTGTGTGTGTGTGTGTGTGTGTGTGTGTGTGTGTGTGTGAATACGAAGGAGTAGGTTGGGGGGGGAGGGAGAGGGAAGGGATAGTAGGAGGAAAACAAAGGAAGGGGTAACAATGCTCAACAAAAAATGTACTCATTACCTTACTCATGTAACTGCAACCCCTCTGTATGGCATCTTTACAATAAAATAATTTTTTTTAAAAAAAGAAGGGGTAGATTAAAGAGGGAACTGTTGGGTAGTTAAGAAAGTCCCTGGCTACTCTCCTTTTCTCTGGTTCTAGTCAAGTCTACCGAGTCAGAGCCCAAAGTCCTATTAGGTTGGCAGCTCCCAGCACCTATCTTAGCCCTGAAGGCAAGGCTAAGGCAGTTGGGAGACAGAGGCTGCAGAGCTCATGGCTGGTGATGTGGCTGCTCTGGTGAGTGTGGGTAGGGAGGTGCCTGTGGGAGGGGATACAGGACTCCTCTGCCAGCTGATTGTCCTAATCCTCACAGGAGAAAGCAAGGTGGAAGTTGGAGGCAATGTCCTAGGAAGGAAGTGGAGGAGGTGGAAGTGTGCTACCTGACTGCCATTTTTTACTTTCTCTGGATACAACTGAAAAGCAGCAGAATTATACTAGAAGATCAAATTATTTATGCTCCAATCTGTATTTTTTTTGTATGAAAGAGCAGAAATCACTGGGTGCCAGTCACTCACACCTGCAATCCTAACTACTCAGAGGCTGAGATCCGAGGACTGCAGTTCCAAGCTAGCCCAGGCAAGGAAGTCCATGAGACTCTTATCTACAATTAACCAAAAAAAAACAGGGCTTGGAAGGTGGCTCAGTGGTAGAGTGCTTGCCTTGCATGCATGAGGCCCTGGGTTCGATTCCTCAGCACCACATAAGCAGAAAAAGTTGGAAGGGATACTGTGGCTCAAGTAGTAGAGTGCTAGCCTTGAGCTGAAGAGCTGAGGGACAATGGCCAGGCCCAGAGTTCAGGCCCCACGACTAACAGAAAAAAAAAAAACCAGAAGGGGAGATTTGGCTCAGGTGAGGGACTGCCAGCCTTGAGTAAAAAAACTAAAGGCAGTGCCCAAGCTCTGAGTTCAAACTCCCAATACTGGCACACACAAAAATAAAGAAAAGGAAAGGTCTTGGGACATTTCTTTTATACGTATACGCTAGAAATCAATTCTTACCTGACATGAAGTTTGGAATCCAAACATTTCCTTAACCCTTCAGGTTTAGAGGTTTAGAGGTTTGGAGGGAGGACTTTTTTTCCTTGCACATATGCAGAGATTTATTTCTATCATGCTTGTACAAGGCTAACCTGGAAAATAGATCCTGCATGCCCAAGAAAGTACCCAAGAAAGAGCCTGAAGCAGCCAGGACAAAAAGAATCTAGGTAGCCCTGACAGCCCAGACTCAGACATAAGAGAAGAGGTTGGCAAACACCACCAATGCCAGCTAGCAGAGACTACCCAGAACAAGCCAGTCAGTAAATGCTAGAGAATAGCTACAGAGTAGATGTCCTCTCTCCACTAATGTCCAGAAGCTACTAGAGTCCCTGTCCCACCCTCAACTTAGACGTGGCCTCGGGAAAAGAAAGGGGAAGATCAGAAAAACCTAAAATAACTAAATTTATTCAGATACTAAGACAAGGGAGGGAACCTTTTTTCCACCAAGGAATTTCTGGATATTTATAACATCATTCTCAAAATGATCGATATAGGCAGCCATCAGGGCGCATGTACGTACATATGTCCCATCATGTAGCAAATGATTTCATGTGTTTCCCATTCTTGTAACTGAATTGAAGCTGGTGTTTGTTTAAAACCATAGTAGACAGTAGAAATGAGCATTCAGTCGAGATTAAGTCTAACTTTACTAAAATAAAGTTACATTTCTGTGTATCTGAACTACAATGGTGAAAATGTAACTGTTATACACAGACAACCTCATTTGATAAGCTCATGTGGATTACATTGAGGGACTGGAATTTGATGGCCCTCAGGAAAACATTACAGACCACGAAGAGAGAGTGTGGGTTCACATGAGGTGGTGGCCAAGACAGTAATTTTGAGTGTTAATCAATAGATTACAGGGGATTTGGTGAAGGGTTAGGTGAGAAAAGAGCAAGTCAATATTTCTAACATGATCCGCCAATCATCTCAGCCATGCCTGAGAGGGGAAAGAGTCCTTGGAGAGCTATGCAGGTAGAGTTTATGGCATATTAACTAGGAGAAGAGCCATGATAAGTTGGTGAGCACAGACAACCTCTCCAGTGAGCAGGTGGACACTGACATGATACCTGAAGCCATGGAGTACAAGGGATGGTTAGGAGGTCATACAGAACAAACGAGGAGAATTCAAGAGCTCAAACATGAGGTCTGGCAGAGAGGATCCAACAAAGAGATGCAATCTGGAAGAGGGCGGGGAGGACCAGGAAGCTGAGAGCCTCAGAAGCCAAGGGAAGAGGCTTTAGAGGATATTGTGCAGATGGTGCTGAGGGCGAAGTGAGGAAAGTACTATAAAATATCCATCGAAGTTCTGATGAACAGTGCTTACTGAAGTTCCCAGGTGTTAAGAAGCAGAACAGGCACGGATAGAAAAGGATGTGCCAGATAATCAGTGGGCTATTGTTAGAGAGATTTCTCCCCAATAGGAATGTGACATTCATATATTTTGATGATCTCTGTTTGTTTCAAAAAGATTTTGTGTGTGTGTGTGTGTGTGCGTGCGCGCGCATGCATGCACCTGTGCATGCCAGCATTAAGACTTAAACCCAGGGCCTTAGCTTTTTTTTACTCAAGGCTAGCAATCTGCCACTTGAGCCTCAACTCTACTTCTGGCTTTTTGCTGGTTAATTGGAGAAAAGAGTCTTACAGGCTTTCCTCTGACTTTCAACTAAGATCCTCAGCTCTCCATTTCCTGAGGAGCTAGGGTTACGGGGATAAACCACTGACACTCAGCTTCATAAACATTTCTTGAATTATTCCTCATAAAAATATAGCTCAAAGAATTTAAACCAAGGTCACAATTAGGTCCAGATATTGACTAATATGTAATTCTTTGTGTGTGTGTGGTGGGGGGAGGGTGGGGAGGTAAGGTGTGCTGGCTCTGGAGCTTGAATTCAAAGCCTAGGCACTGTCCCTGGCTTTTATGCTCAAGGCTAGTGCTCTACGTCTTGAGCCACTTCTGGCTGTTTTGTTGGTTAATTGAAGAAAAGAGTCTCATAGACTTTCCTTCTTGAGCTGGCTTTGAACCATAATCTTTAGATCTCAGCCTCCTGATTAGCTAGGACTATAGTCCTAGCTATCACGCCTATAGGCATGAGCCACTGGAGACCAACTCAATTTGTAATTCTTTTTTGGGGGGAGGGTCCGGTCGTGGGGCCTGAACTCGGGGCCTGGGCGCTGTCCCTCAGCTCTTCAGCTCAAGGCTAGCACACTACCACTTGAGCCACAGTGCCACTTCCGGCTTTTTTCTTTTTGCTTATGTGGTGCTGAGGAATCGAACCCAGGGCCTTGAGCATGCAAGGCAAGCTCTCTACCACTGAGCCACCTTCCCAGCCCTCAATTTGTAATTCTTGCAATGGATCCAAAACCATTCCTGTGCCTTTTCTTTAAGATGAGCAAACTCTATCATAAAGTTTTGATTCTAACTTTAAGAAATAGCCTTTGTTTGTCAATCTCTTGTCAACATTTAAAACGAGAATTCCCACTACTCTAGTTCTAGTGATATTTCCCACTGTTTTCTGTCCACACTTGCCGACATCACAGGCTTTACAAAGGTATCCAAGTGTAGTGTTGTACAAAGGGACAGAATACCAGAACCTCAGCCTCCATTTACTAATCCTCAAAAACATTTCATTCACAATTAACTATATAACACT